CATAACAATCTTAACATGAATAAAGCGCCCAACTTTATTCCCTCGATTGTGGATCATAAGATTTAGACTATCATCTTTAGATTCTTGTCTTCCGCGTGTTCTTCACATTATATGCATAGCCTAAAGATTTAGAATGACAGTCTCAGACTTTCAGTTTGCTTATCATACATTCAACTATTATGAACATAAAGAGGACAATACATAGATATATAAAATAAATAAATCTTTATTAATAGTCAAAATATCTCAAAGAATATTGTTACATTTATTCCTAAGGGCATAAACGCTAACAATCTCCCACTTGCACTTAAGTGAGTAAATGTGACATGCTACGCATCCCCATAGCCTCGACATGCTTCTCGAAGACCTTGGCCGGCAGGGCCTTCGTGAACGGGTCAGCCATATTGTCCTCCGACGCGATCTTGCATATTTCCACATGCCCTTCTTCAATAAAGCTTCTTATCACGTGATACTTCATGTCTATGTGCTTACTCATTTTCTGATATCTTGGTTCTTTGGTGTTAGCTATTGTCGTATTGTTATCACAGTATAGTCTCAATGGCTTATCCACACCAGGAACAACTTCAAGATCCATCAAAAATTTGCGGAGCCACACTACTTCTTTTGAAGCATCACTAGCTGCCACATACTCGGCTTCCATCGTTGAGTCAGAAGTGCAAGTTTGCTTGACACTCCTCCAAACGACGAAACCACCTCCCAGAGTAAAGACAGAACCTGAAGTCGATTTCCTAGAATCTAAACAAGATTGAAAATCTGAATCTGTATATCCTAGAGGTGTCAAATCCTCTAGTCCTCCGAAGATACTTGAATACATGCTTGACCGCAACCCAGTGGTTAGGTCCTGGATTCGACTGAAATCGACTTACAATCCCGACCGCATGACAAATGTCTGGTCGAGTACAAAGTATTGCATACATGAGGCTCCCAACCGCCGAAGCATAAGGCACCTTCGCTATGTATTCTCTTTCTTCAGATGTCTTGGGACAATCACTGTTCGAAAGAGTAATTCCAGACCTAGAATGACAGTCTCAGACTTTCAGTTTGCTTATCATACATTCAACTATTATGAACATAAAGAGGACAATACATAGATATATGAAATAAATAAATCTTTATTGATAGTCAAAATGTCTCAAAAAATATTGTTACATTTATTCCTAAGGGCATAAACGCTAACAGATAGTCTAAATCATATAATCCACAATCGAGGGATAAAGTTGGGCGCTTTATTCATGTTAAGATTGTTATGATGTCTACTTCCTAACGTAGACGGCTTGTCTTGGTCGTTGGAGGTAGGACTCCATAGGTAGAGACATTGATATTGTTTCTTGTGGTGAACTCTATATTGGGTTGGACGAAAGTTGAATTGTTTTAATTAATAATTCTGTTTGTATAAAATAATTCACTTTTGACGAATTATATGTGGTCATCTTAATCCTGAGATGGATAATGAACCCGTATGCTTAACTTGTATCCTTTGATGTACCAAAGGGAGACATCCTGATATTATGTAAATGTATGCTTACCAATACATTGGGGGTATGACTCGTGTATGCGTAGATTCGTTATTCATAGATAGTGGAATCCATAACTCCTACAAAGAGTCAATGATATCCTCTTATGTATTATTCGTGGATTGGAAAATACGAGCGCTCGACCATTAGACTACCCTGTGTTTTCTAATGGTTTACTATTTGGAATGGTATGAATAGTGGTTTTCCGATGGAGCGGTAGTGGAACATAAGATGAATGTAATCGGGAAGGTAAAACGGAACTTGACCTCAAGTCGATTATGGATATCTTATGGGGATGATACATTAATATATTGAGTCATGGATGAGAGCTATTCAAAGCTTCACAAATATTGTATATAAATCGAGACTGCTGCTCTAGGCTTTTAGTGAAGTAGTGCTAGAGTTTTATAATCATGAGACAGACTTGTTGATTTACAAGTAGTGTTATGATTATAGGAGTTTGATTTATATATGTCCATCGGGTCTCTTTGCTAGCTCACATGATTTCTTGTAACGATACGGTGTATTTCTTACATCTTGGTAACTTGTGTTATTTTCGTAAAAGAGGTTGAAAGTTAATACGAGATTGGTTAATTAATTCATGAGTGATTTATCATGTGAATTAATTGATAAATTAATTCTAAATAAATTAGTTGAATTAATGTTTCAGGTTGTTTGGTTCATGAGTAATTTATCGGGTTGATTAATTGTTAAATTAATTCTAGATAAATTGGTTGAATTATTGTTTTAAGAGTTATTTAATATGGGAAGACTATTATATGACTGTTTTGATTAGGTAACTTCTCTATTGGGTTGCTTGAATCAAAATTGAGGCTATGTACAAGTTTCTCGTGTTGAAAAACTAGAAAAGCAAGTTTCCCTAGTTCAGACAGGTCGACCGGTTCATGAATGACAGGTCGACCGGTGAGTTATAACTTCTCTGTCACCGGTCGACCGATTGTAATGTGTAGCGCATGCTGACGTGACAAAACTGACTCTATAAGCGAGATAAACTTTGGAAAAATTAATTGTTACGAAAATATGACTTCCTAAACACTATAAATATCGTATTAAGTCACATTATGTTTTAGATCACTTGAGAGACTTTTTGGGGGCTATTGGCAAAAGATTCTTGGGAGGAAAATTGTTTAATTCTCAAGAACGATTTTTTCTTTGGCTCTGTTGTGGTTAGAAAGAGTTCAAGAATACCAAGAGGAGATTGAACGACGTGTCCACCCGCACTCCGATCGTGGAAACGAGAATAGCAAATAAGACCAGTTGGTTGAGGCTCTTCCGGTTGCTGTTTGGAACGCTTTGATCTGTCATACGTGCTGTTTTCTAAATATCTAAATGTATGATTTAGATCTTTAATATTTTTGTTATATAACATCATGAACATGTTATTAATTGGCTTTGGCATTGATTTAAATTTGTTAAAATTCTGCTGCGCACTCATTACCGTATTTTTCAACACCTTAGACGTCGCCTAAATGACAAGTGATGTCTAAAACCTCACGTAGAGGTCACTCCAAACATGGGTGACATCTATTTATATATTTCCTATATTGTGGTGAACTACTATCTATATTGAACTATATCTTGTCTATGTTCTTGCCTCTCAAACGACTGCCACAATCTTTCCTCTCAAACAGACATGTGAATTAGCTTGATCATAACGTTCCAGCCTGGGCGAGGTTTTCAAACACAGTGGGTGTCCTCTATCTTGTCCCTAATTTGCTCTTGTCTGATAGTTGTAGATGACTAACACCACACTGATGTTTGTCTCCAGTTAGTGGGTGGGTTAGTGTAGATTGTAATCTTTGCTTTTGTTTCCATTTTATGTTGTTTGGCCGGCCCTCTTCTCTTGTGGTATGACATTCACACTCTTAATTTACATTTACTGAAGTTTAATTTTGAGGGAAGCATAGTGATGGTTTGGATAATTTTGTTTTTTGTTTTTTTATCTATGTTTATTTTTCTTCAAAGCAGAAGGTAGCCCTTTAGCATAACTTTTTAGCTATGCTTATGCTTATTCTTCACAAAAATTTTGGTTACAACGTTTTTAATACTATTGTTGGTATTATTATAATACCAACTAGAAATTAGAAAAATTGTTGGTCTACGCATATATACTTCATAATTAAATTCCAGCCAAGGCACAAACTGATTTCAAAATCAAATTAAGATTTCATATCTTTAAAAAAAAAGTAGATTTTATAAATAAATAAAAAAAGTAGATCAAATTAGGAAAGCTGCCTTCAACTTTTGCTTAAAAACAATAGAGATAAGAAAAGCAACAATAGCGGCTCCAAGCTTTATTTCAAAAAATTTAAGGCTGTTACTATAATATTTTTTTTATTAAAATTTAAATTTAATTTTTTAATTATAGTATTTTCCTCTTAATATACAATTTAAATTATGATTTGAGTTATGTAAATGAACATTTTTTAAAATTTTATCAAAAACTAAATTAAAGTTTCATATATTTTAAAAAAATGATATTATTAGAAAAAAATAACAAATTAAACCTTATTTATTTAACTGATTTAAATTTATAGTGTTACATTTTTATAATTAAATTTTTTTTTAAAAATATTACATTTAATTTTTTTATTATAATTTAAAATTTTTAAAAAGTATTATATTCCAACTCTAATTAAAAATCTAGAAAAACAGACGCGAACAGTTGCTAGCTCTGTCTCTCTCCTTAATCTCCATTCTCCCGCCCTTTAGTTCTCTCTCTAATCTCCATTCTCCCGCCCTCTGTCTCTCTCCCTAATCTCCATTCTCCCAGTCCCGAATCTGCCCTAATGCACGTCGCACGCTCATCATCGTCGTCCTTATCACACAGAGATCCTCGTCCTCATCGTCTTCTCTTTCTTCTTCTTCTTCTTAATCAGTTGGCGCAAAGTTTTTTTTTTTTGGCCTTTAAGCGTCATTTCTTTTTCATTTAATTGGTGTTGTCTGTTAGGTTTTGGGTTTGCATTTTCTAAAACAGCATCTATGGATTTTGGGATTTGTAGGTTTCCTTCTCCACTTTACCTTTTGTCTTTTAACTTTTTAATTTATGATGTCGCCGACTCATGTGGCATATATTCTAATTTTTTTCTTTTATCCTTGGTTGTGCTAGAACTTGCTTTTCATATTCATTTAGAGTGTAAGTTATTCCGTATTTTTCATTTTAGTGAAATGCTTTTGTCTTATGAGTTTTGCTTCGAATTGGATTTAATGGAATTTATTTTTATTTATTTATTTGGGTGAATTTGGTTTCAGAAAGAATGCATTCGAATTTGGCTTTTTTAGCAGAACAATCTGAAGATGAGGGTCGAATTATGCGTTAATCCTACTTTCTTGTTATTTTAGCTTTTAGTGATAATACTAGGATTCTTTTTTTTTTTTTTTGCTTTAGCAGTTTAAGCCTAATTTGCTATGTTTCTGATTGATGCAGGACTGCTATGGCAGATGGAGATGATGTTTCCATGGATTTTGTAGTGAAGTTAAGTATGCAGTAAATGTTCTCATGGATTTTGCAGTTAATATTGCCAAAAAAGGGTCGATTAAAGTTCTGCATATGACTTATGTAGGTAACACACATGTATATAATATTAATCTCTATTTGTTTTTGTTTTAAGGAATTAATTATGGTGAAACACAATTGAGAGTCCTGAAGAGTAAAATTTGGGAAGAACAAGAAAATATTAAGGGTTCTTTGCTTATTAGTTTGGAATTTGGACTATTTTTGTTGAATAGCGACTACATGTAAGAAGATACTAACATCCATGTTATTGTGCGATTGTCAGTTGATCTGCAAAGTATGTCAATAGAGGTACTCTGTTTTTGCGTTTCTGTTTTCTTAACTTGAAATTATGTGAATTTTATATCTTATTTAAGTGTTAATTTAGTGTTCAATGAATGCAGATGATTTTTGGTCTTCTCTAACCTGAAATTCAAAAGGTTAGTTTCGATGTAATGGTTTGAAACAAATTTCAATTCTTTAAGACTTCATACGTCATATCAGCAATGGCTGAGAATTATCATGAGTAAACAAGTATTTCTAAATTCTTTTTTCTTCATGAAGCATAAACTAGTAAGGATCTTAAATTTATGAGTGTTTTTAATTCTTTTGATGCTTGTTTGGGGGTGACTGCAGGGTCAGTTGGAACCTCATCTAAAAACTTCTTCATCAGGTGTTAAAGCTCTCTATCATTACGTACATGCAAAGGGCCTCAAGCTTGAGATTCATTTTGTTAGTTTATAGCTCTTACCCCGGCTAATATTGTGCAATATTCATGAATAGATTGTAGAGCTCTAGATTCAATTCCCAGATACTGAAATGCTTTTGGATTTGATGCTCTAGATAAGTGAAGCTTACAAAGGTAATTCTGAAGGCTGGAAAGTGCAACTCTAATTTTCTTCCATGCATTGCCCTATTATACTTTGATTATTTGGTGCTTGAAGGATTTAGAACTTGAAGAAAATATACTGGTTAATTGTATTTATAGAAAATCACAGAGGCAGGAAAGAGAGAATTACTCTCTGATTCATCTTCTTCATTCCAGAGAAAATAACACACATTTAAATAGAAAAGAAGAGCATACACGGCTAACCCTAGGATCCCTTATAATCAGGGATTTTATTCTATTACTTCATTCTTTCCTAATTCATTCAAAAATTAAATCCTAACCTAACATTCCTGATTTACCAACACTCTCCCTCAAGTTGGTGCAAAGATATTCATCATGTCCAACTTACTCACTTGAAATTCAAGTGGCTGTCTCACTAGACCCTTAGTCAGAACGTTTGCAACTTGCTGTGTGGTGGGTACAAATGGAGTACAAATTATTCATTCTTCAAGCTTTTCTTTTATAAAGTGTCTATCAATCTCAACATGTTTCGTTCTGTCATGTAGAACTAGATTATGAGCAATACTGATAGCCGTTTTGTTGTCACAATACAACTTCATAGGAAAACTTATTGGTCTCTTATAGCTCTTCTAAAACTCTTTTTAGCCAAAGAACCTCACATACTCCTTGAGCCATTGATTTGAATTCTGCCTCAGCACTACTTCTAGCAACTACACTTTGCTTCTTGCTTCTCCAAGTGACTAAATTGCCCCATAGAAATGTACAGTAGCTTGATGTTGACTTTCCATCAGTGATTGAACCTGCCCAATCAGCATATGTATACACCTCAATTCCTCTCTTCTCATTTTTCTTGAAGAAGAGTCCTTTTCCAGGTGTGCTTTTCAGATAACGAAGAATTCGATACACAGCTTCTAGATGTTCTTCATATGGGGAATGTATAAACTGACTTACCATCCTCACAGCGAAGCGATGTCAGGACGTGTATGTGACAAGTAGATTAATCTTCCAACCAATCTTTGGTATTTCCCTGTGTCTACTGGAACACCATCTTTTACATCTCCAAGTTTAGCATTAGCTTCTATTGGAGTATCTGAAGGTTTGCAACCACTCATTTCAGTTTCTTTCAAGAGATCTAGAATATACTTCCGCTGTGACACCACAATGCCCTTTTTTGATCTTGCCACTTCCATTCCAAGGAAGTATTTTAGTTGGCCTAGATTTTTAATCTCAAATTCCTTGGCTAGGCTCTGCTTCAGTCTAATCATCTCTTCTAAATCATCTCCAGTCAAAATTATATCATCCACATAGACAATCAAGACAGACACCTTGTCTTTGGTAGATTTCTTTGTAAAGAGAGTGTGATCCGATTGTTCCTGTGTATATCATTGGTTCTTAACAAACTTTGTAAATCTCTCAAACCAAGCTCTGGGAGACTGTTTAAGACCATATAGAGACCTCTTTAGTTTGCACACCTTGGTTCCAAACTTCTCAGTAAAGCCCGGTGGAGATTTCATATAGACTTCTTCCTCTAAGTCTCCATTCAAAAAAGCATTCTTCACATCCAGTTGATTCAGAGGCCAATCAAGATTAGCAGCAACAAACAAGAGTACCCGAATTGTATTTAGCTTTGCCATTGGAGAAAAGTCTCTGAGCAGTCCACTCCATATGTCTGAGTGAAGCCTTTAGCCACAAGGCGAGCCTTGTATCTTTCTAAAGATCCATCTGAGTTGTACTTTACGGTAAATACCCATTTACAGCCAACAACTGTTTTCTCATCTGGCAGATCCACTTTCTCCCAAGTAGCATTCTTCTCCAGAGCTCTCATCTCCTCAAGGATCGCTTCTTTCCACTCGGGAACATTTAGAGCCTCCTGGACACTATTAGGAATAACCACACTTGACACTTGTGAAAGCACAATATGAGGGTGAAATACTTTTGTAAGACACAAAATTTGACAATGGATGTTTTGTACAAGACTTAACACTTTTCCTAAGAGCAATGGGAAGATCAAGCTGACTAGAACGGTTTGACTCAGAATTACCTGGAGGATTATTCTCAGGAACTATTGAAGAGTCATCACGAATTTCATTATCTAACCTCTGATTAGACACTTGGTGGTGCGGCAGGATAGGGCCTCTTCTTTTCTGCGCTTGGTACTCCTTTGAATAAGTAAGTCCTTTAAACCGTTTCGCACACATCTTTGTTGTTTCAGTATTTTGATTCTGAGATGGCATTACCACAGGTTGTTCATTGGTAGATTCAATATTTTCAACATTTAATTCATTTGTTTCCACCGACTTTGTATTTTCCATACCATTCTCTTTGGGTAATTGTTTGTGGGAAACATCTTGAGTAAAGTCAAACATTGAACCATCTAGAAACTCATCTTCACTAGTGTTCTCCCCTTGAAGATGGGAATTGCTGTAGTAGGACTGTCCTTCAAAAAATGTGACATCCATAGAAACAAACATTTTTTTGGAAACCAGATCAAAACATTTATACCCTCTCTGATTTATATAGGATAGCCTACAAAAATACACTTATGTGCTTTTGGATCAAGCTTAGAACGTCTAGGATCATGATTATGAACAAAAGCCACACTTCTAAAAATTTTTAAGGGAATATCTGTTGTTAGCCGAGTGGTGGGAAAACATTCGGTGAAAACCTTTATTGGTGTTTTAAAGTTCAAAATTCTCGTAGGCAGCCTATTAATCAAAGAAGTAGCTGTTAAAACTGCTTCTCCCCAAAGGTACTTAGGAACCTTAGTTTTAAAACTTATAGCTCTAACAACTTCAGAGAGATGTCTGTTTTTCGTTTTAGCCGTGTATTATTACAAGAACTTTCGTATACAATCCTTTTCCCGGCAAAAAAAATTCCCTAACACATTGTTAAAAAATTATTTTCCATTATCAGTTCAGAAAATTTTAATCTGAGTCTGAAATTGTGTTTGGACCATATTATAAAAATTTTTAAACACGGTTTCAACATCCGATTTTTCTTTTAAAAGGAAGACCCAAGTGACTCTAGTATGATCATCAATGAAAATAACAAACCAGCATTTTCCAAAAAAGGTTGGCACTCTAGGACCCCAAATATCACTATGAATCATGGTAAATGGTTTTGATTTTTTATATGGTTGAGATGGAAAAACATCACGATGATGCTTTGCTAATTCACAAGATTCACATCGAAAAACAGATGGATTTTTATACATGAATAACTTGGGTAACAAATGCTTTAAATATTGAAAATTTGGATTTCATAATCGATAATGTCATAACATAATCTTACTGTCACTAGAAATAGAAATAGAATTGAAACATGTATGCTGATCTTGTCTTCCAAAAGTAGATCCGTTATTGAAGAGGTAGAGATCACTATCCAGTTTAGCACCCCCAATCATCTTCCCCGAGGTTAAATCCTGAAATTCACAATGAGAAGACCAAAAATTACTTGACAATTATGATCAAGAGTCAATTTATTGATAGATAAGAGGTTATATGACAAATGGGGAACATGAAGAACATTTTTTAGGATTAGAGAAGGGGAAATGGTAACTGTTCCTTTCCCAGCAACAGTAGCAAAGGAGCCAACTGTAATTTTAACTCTTTGATTCCCTGCACAAGGTGTATATGAAGAAAAGAATTGCGAAGTACCAGTCATATGATCGGTAGCATCTGAATCTAATATCCAGGAGCCATTAGACTTGGTACACGCAATGGCTGCAGTGAAAGAGTTACCTGACTGTGCTAGAGAACAAGATGAGTTAGAATTTCCTAAAGATTGGGATTGAAACATTTTATGTAGGTGCTCTATTTGTTCTTTTCTAAAAGGAAGGGGCGCTGATGGAGATTCCTGCTCTGGATCTGTGCAGCTTGCTTAGAATGTGCGAACATCTCCCTCTAACTTGGTGTCACTGTCGGGTCTTTTCCTACAGTTTGCTGGTTTCTCGTGTAGTTTTCAACAATTCTCCCGAGTATGCCACGCCTTCCTACAATGGTCACTGATCGGTACGAAAATATCACCTATTTTCTACTCACAAGTGCACGAGGTCGACAAGTAATAAAGTAGTGAGTGAGTGTCGTGTCCCACAAGGATTGTGTTCCTAAAATTTGGCTAAGTACTGCAACTAGAATAACCTATTTTTATCTAGACAAGTCCAACATAAGAATGAGATCAATCAAAACAAAAATAAATGCTAAACTAATTAAATAAGCAAATAAACAATGCAAGGAATTTTTTTTGGGATCGAAGGGGGGTCTAATGATAAGGTAGCCAGGGTCCTTGATTTCACCTTGCCTAGTTATTCTAATCCTTTTTAATGCTATTGATTTCCCTCAAGCCAAACATTAATAATGAATTTCTTAAAATAATCCAACTCCCTCTCTCAAGTGCCGAGTCAAATATATGCAAAATCACCTAATTAATATCCCTATTAATTAAGTTAATTGTGCATTCATTAAGCTCTAATTCATTTGTGATTACCTAGCTCATATTTATCTCCCGATTCCAATACTCACTAGGATGTGTGCTCAACAAATCCCAACATGTGCAAGTGACTCTCTCAAGCCTAAATCTACATATCTAAATCTTCTAATCAATCTTTCAATTGATTAAAGCATTAAGCAAAGAAGAGCACAAATGTTTGGGCATGAAAAACATCAAATATTCATAGCATAATCGTAGTAAGGTTACATCAAGTCCCCTAGCACAAAAATCTGGCAACCCATAATTGTAAACTCAAACATATTCAAAATTAAACAAAACTGAAAATACATGATGAATCCACAAAAATAAAGAAAATACTAGGTTTAAGAACAAGAGGAGGAAAGAGGAAGAAAAATAAAATTCAGTGTAGTGCAGCTTCCAATCTCTAAGAGCTTCCCCTCAGAGAGTTTCCTGTAAAAACTAGGGTTTTTCTTCTATCTTCTTTGTTGTCTGCGCCTTCCTTCTTT